TTTTTATCATGACAATGAATTGCCAATTTTTGTTACTCTATACCAAAAATTTGAGGTACACTCGAAAGACAGCATGGTGATAAATCCTTTATATATAAGCATCTATCTGTCTCAGAGATATGAGAATATGGTTGACAAATCATTTTTGGTCTCAACCGGGAAAACTTTTCCACCGCATGAGATAGCAAGAAGCGATACAGTATTGACTGGTTCAGCATTATGTTAGTTCGTCCAGACTAACACGCTTTCCGTCCACACTCGCCTTTGAATCGTTGTTAGCAGTTTCAAGGTCAATTAAATTTCAATCAAAGTTGAAGTAAAAAATTCTGCCTGGGCTGTAAAGGAGGGTGACTTTAGCTCACGCTAAACCAGAGACCAGGTGACCAACTGATGTCAGCAGTTTTGAGTTGTTTTCAAAACAAGTTATAATAGTACTTAGCCTGAGTTTTAAAAAGGCTTTCTCTACAGAAAAAGAAATACTTTTTTTAAAGTAGACGGTGGTAAACTTGACAAGAAAAAAAAACATCTCCACCTTCTATCTGGAATAGCGTGGGAAGTACAACATTGAAATCCATGTATTGTTTGCAGCGATCGAAAAATGTGTGGAATGAAATTGCTTCATCGTTTCAAGATAACAACCATGTTATGGTAAATAACTTATTTAATTAATACTTTTCCTCTTTGAAACGTTCTTCAAAATTGAAACTAATAACAACAGCTCACAAGGATAACAAAACAAAAGACCCTACATGGTCAGGGAGCTCCCAACCTAAACTGCTCTATAGTTTTCTTCTTCTATGACTTTAACAGCTTTAATGGTATTCTTTTAACAAACAATGGATTGGGGAATTAAATGCGGTAGTACTGTATCATTTTGGGTGAAGGCCCTTAACCTGGTACTCCTCAGCCATCATCTGTGTGTGATGTAAGCTTGATTTTCTAAGGTAAGTAAAAAAGTGGTTTCAAAAGTAAATAGGTTTCAGACGAAAAAGGTGAAATCGAAACTTTTGCCCCCCTCCCTTCTGGCATTAGCATGAGTTACCTAGCCCTGGGAGAAGGGAAGTCAAGTTTAGCCCTGAGGGAAGAAAAAGCAATCAGATTGAAAACACAGTTTTCTGTCCCACCCATTTTCCCAGGAAACCAAATACTCTCTGTCCCAATTAAGCTCTGGTAATCAACATACGCCTTCCCAAATGTTCCTTAGGAATTCTTACGAACCAAATTGTTCAGCGATTAATCATTTAAATCAGTTTGATAAGAACGAAAAAAATTAATACTAACCCGTCGACGATGATCATACTTGATTTTTTTAGAAACTTAGAAACACTGTTGGTAGGCATGGCATTGCACGTGTCTGCGACGATACCCAACCTGGTGTCATGGGAGTCGTCTAATGATACTTGTAAATAAAGTCGTTGCTGAAGTGAAACCGCCAATAGAAAGCTAATGTACTCTTAATCAAAGTCTTTGCTCTCATTGTAAAATATAGGATTCAGAGGAGCTATTTAGGAAGGGATGGAATCAAAGTTACTGTGAAGAGAATGCGACGCAACGATAGAGGATAAGGGAACAGTTATTAGTCCACAAAGGTCGTGGTACCGCTGCCAAGTTGACACACCGCAAGGACCAGTAAGGTTTTTTGATTATCGAGAGTGTCATTGCACTCTTGAGGATGAAGATTTTTGTCAGAGAGCTGAACAGGGTTATTACAAGTCGCTTGGTTTTCTAAATAAGTGTAATCGCCTGGTGTAATCATCTTGAAAGGAGCTAGCTGTTTTTGTTAACCGAAGCTTTGAAACTAAACTAGGCGAAATTAAAATGATTCCAGCTGACATTGTTGACCAAGTTCTCACTGTAGTAGCCAAAATGGTCAAAATGATCTTTAAAATTCCCACACAGCAACTCTTGCTTAGCCATGTCTGCTCTTTGCTTTTCAGTAATAGATGGCTGCTGTCGGTTAAGTTTATTGTTTTAACACCAGTAAAATTCTCCTTTGAAGTGAACGTACTACAGCTATATACTTTGAAACTTTTGTTTGATAGAAATGAAATAAACGAGAGGAAAAACTCCACTTGAATTGATAAGAGAAGAAAACTAAATATTGTCCTTTTTGTGTTTAATTGAAGACTAATGAGGCAAACAGAACTTTGGGTTTCTTAAAAAGGAATCTTGGAAAATATCCTGAATCTATCAAAGAACTGTCATATAAATCCTTAGTTCGACCGCATCTCGAGTATGCAAGCACAATCTGGGAACCCTGGAAGGACAAACACGTAAATCAAATTGAAGCTGTTCAAAGAAGATCTGCACCTTTTGTAAAAAAATTGTTGGGAGCGTAAACCAGGGACTGTGTCAAATCTTCCAAATGATTTGGACTGGCCTCCATTACAGAAAAGAAGAAAGTCTGCACGTTTAATCATGTTCTACAAGATTCTACATGGCGAAGTCCAGATGGAACTCCCAAATTATATCAAGAGGAAAAACCGTCAATTAGATCACATCACAAGGATAAATTCATAGAAATAAAACCGAACACTGAAACGTATAAGAATTCATTTTATTGTAGAACAATCAAAGACTGTAACTCCTTACCAAATAGTGTTTTAGGAATTGATAAATTAATTAGTTTTAAAGATGCAATTAGAGGAATTTAACCTTTAACATATGTATATATATATATCATTTATCTTTACATCTTTTATCTCATTTTGTTAATTATTATTGTTATTTTGTCTTGCATGATGGCCCTCCTTTGTTAGACTAATAAATGTAGATGTAGATGTAGAATTGGATGTTCCAAAAACCAGCGTATACATTGTTTTCACATTCCATGGAGGCAATGCTCAGAGTCCGCTTCATAGAAGAGTGGAAAAAGGTGGGTTTATTTTCGTAAATTCCCTCTTAATAGGTTCTTCTTAAATGTAAAATATTCAAGAAAGCTGCATTGCAATAACTTGAAGTCGAGTAGTGATTGGTGATCCTGTCATCAAAAGAATTTTTCGGTTCCAGACAAGTAGTAAAGAGTTACATGATAATTTGGTTTTATCAACTGAGTTGACAATGTGAATTGGCTACCGAAGAGAAATTCTAAAACTGAGGTCTTACCCTTCGACAGAGCGAATTCATTGTGACAGAAGACTAACGCTTAAAACGTAAGCTTTATAATTTCTCAACGGTGGCCATTTCACATTTTCAATTCAGTTTACAAAACCAAATTACTTTAATTAAAAGCCTCCCGCCAATGAAAGACGAAAAATATTGTTAAGCATTTGGTTTGACAATCATGACATCTTTTTAATGTTATGACAATAGCAAGACCTCTACGATTTCGAATATTACGCAACATATCTCAACTTAACTTTTGTTTTCTTTCTGCGAGACACCACAAATGGAGTTGGAAGACGAATAATCAGATTCTTTTTTAACAAGCTTCCTTGTGCTCCTTAAATCTCAGTTCCGAAAAGAATCCTACAAGCTTCGTACAATGTCGAAGAAATGGAACCCTTTCCTCCCGCTCCTTAATATTGCGTCGTCTTAACTGACACAGTTTTCTCCCTGAGGTATTACCGCCGAATCCTTATTTCACTTTAAAAATATAATATACGTGTGTTACCCTATACTGCTTATCAAAAGATGTTCTCAATTGAAAAACATTTAATCTACCATTTCATAGCATAGCATCCCGAGAAATAATATAGTTTAATAATAGGAAAGTAACTAAACACTATTAAAAATGATTTAAGGCACTGGAGCCGCCCTCCCCCCCCCCGTCCGATTTTTTTCCTTGCTTATTGTGTGTTGTCGATACCCCTTTATTTTCGGATTGATTTGATTCATCAATCTTAATTTAGTGCGACGTTGTATTGATAATGAAGGGGATATAATGATATGAAAAATTAAAACTATGCGTCTTTCGTATATTTGATCACATTATTATTACATTCTTAACAGCCATGAAAAACCAGTTTCCGAATTATTTGAGTTCTTGGTTTTTTTCAGCGTTGTATGGATCCTCATTAAAAAGCTAACCATAATCAATCTATACCACAGCCGCGCAATAATTATTGTAAACGAAGCTTTGCCAAAATTGTATCGAAACTAGATTGAAGTTGATCTGTCTTCCTTTACAAGCGCAATGGCAATCTCTGTTTTCCAAATACATTTAATGTATAATGTGATATATNGGCGCTCTCATTTAGAAGTCGTGAAAAATTCGACAATTTTTTTTTTTCAAAATTTTTGGTATAGTCTGATAGCCAGTCCTATGAGCTTTAATTTGATAATAGGGGTTTAGATATCTACAATTTAAACCGTACGTGCTACATCGCTTGCACGCTAGGCACCCCTGAAGGTGCACGGTAACCTTAAGACATCTAAGTTTTAAGCGCTTCCCAGATATATAAAACTTGGGCATTACCTGAATGTGAGAGCGAAACAGGGAGTGTCATCAGTTATGCTTTCTCGAACAAGGTAGTGCCCATCTTCATATTGAGAAACAATTTTTTGAGCTTCCTCAGGTGAGAGGGAACCATGAAATCTAAAAGTCAATAGTAAAAATAAGAATATCAATAAGAATATGAAGAAAGCGGATAAGCCCAGAAGGATCGTACTCTATATTGGGAACTAAACTTAATGTTGTCAAATCTGCTACGGATCTGGGAGTTATTGTAAATAATGACCTGAAATGGCCAGACCATACATCTTCTGTTGTTGCAAAAGCCAATCGCATGATAGGTTTTATTAAACGTAAGTGTATAAGAGACCTCGTGAAGACCCCATATCTATCACTGGTAAGATAACATCTCTGCTACGCGTCTCAACTGTGTGCTCCCCAATCTCGCACATCAATAGTCGAGATCGAAAACATCCCGCGCAGAGCCACGGATGGCCTCTCTTACAAGGAACGTTTATTAGAACTGAACTTACTTCCCCGGAACTACTGGCTGGAATATCTAGACGTTGCAAATTAACGACCTCTTTGAGTTTTAAGTTTAAGTTTAAGTTTAAGTTTAAGTAAGTTTAAGTTTAAGTTTAAGTTTAAGTTTAACCCATTCGCCACGGGAGTGGCAGGGGAAAGGAACAGGACTTTCGTCCCAAATAACCCCTTTGTACCCACCATCCCACCCCGGGGAGGACATCCATTACACAGTAATCTCGTGCGTGGGAAATTAACGTCTCCTACCCCAACCCTGCAGGAGACGGGACCTCCATTTATTCGTCCCTATCCGAGAAGACTAGAATATCTAACCATTTCCAGATGTTATGGAAAGGTAGCATATTCTCCTCAATTATTTTAAGACCTTGAGTGTTGGTCCGGGCGGGGCTCGAACCCTCGACCTCCCGCACAACAGTCCAGCGCACTATCCTAACTGGGCGGCGGTGGTTTTGTAGTGGGCGCTCGCGCCGTGGCGCTTCTGGTCTTTTAATCAAAAAAGAGAAAGCTAAAATCTCACTCTATAGAGATTCCTTCATTGTAAGAATCTGTAACATATGGAACACCTTACCAGATAACTTAGGAGCAGAAAAGGAACTACCGTCTTTCGTCAAAAAACAAAAATATTTCTTTTATCTAAGACTTAGCAAAGTTTTTCATCTACACGACATCCGTTCCTTCAAATTAGTTTGTGTAAAATGTCGTTTCAAAGTTCTTAATTCTTGTACTTGTCAACCAACTGTTTTTTCTTTTTTTACTATTTTTATTTATTCATTTTTTTAGCATGGAGGCTTGTAAGTGGGTCTGGTTTCAATTTTGTCTGCTTTTGGGGGATAGGGTAAGGTAATTTACCAAGTAGTCCCCTACTAGGTAAATTAACCTTGTCCTATTGTCCTTGTCCTATTGTAAATTTACCTACCTTTGGGAAATTGTTAAATAAATAAAAAAATAAATAAATAATCACGATAACGATGACAAATAAAGAAAAATTATATTAATAAAAAAAAAACACTGCAAAGAAAAGATAACTAGTATTTCAGGAGAACACGATTTTTTTTATCCACCATCTAAACTTCATTAGGCTAGCTATGGGGCTGTCAGCTTTTCAGTGGAAGTGTTTGAAGAGGGACAAAACCCGTGAGGGTCATTAAGCGCTTTTCATAAAGAATTCTTGCTTTCAGTTGAAGGAGTTCTCTAACCTCTTAGGGCTCTATATCGATATCATGCGTGCATCGAAGATTGTTCTTACATGTTTCATTGCAAACTACAAAAATTCCGGGACAAAAACAAAGAAACACCTGTAACATTTTACCATCTGGAAAACTTTATGAATATGTAACTAAAGGCATTAGCCATTTCACTTTTGGGAGAATTTTTATGGGTCAAGCGTTTTCACCAAGGGTATTGTACAATACAATGCTGAATACAATGCAATACAAACTTTATTGACACTCTCTAAAGAGGGTTTTTCGGTGACAATTGTAACTACAGTTTATTATTTACGCCCCTAGTATTACTTTCAAAGCTCAAGATTGATACGTACTCATTCCCAAAGTGAGCTGGTTTATTCTCAGGAATCTGCATTAAAACATAGATACCAGAAATTGTTGTTAAAACGTGCATATTTCAGCAATTGATATTCACTAATTGAGTCCAGTTAGAGCATTTCATCAGGTTATCGACCGTCAAAGTGGTTTTCTAAAACCCAGCTCCGATTCCTGGGACTTTTTCTAGCAATTGTTCTATACCTGTTGATTGGCCACCAAAAAGTTTGTATTCGAAAAAGTTTGGCATGCAACAATTTGATCGCCGCCGGCCCTTGTCTATCCCAAGCATGAGATCTAACTACGTTTTATTGCCTTAATTCTAGATGGAACATCTATAAATCAACCATTGCTAAAGTAGTACAGGAATGAGAATAACGCGACAACGAACAACGCATAGAACTGAAATTATGCCTGATTCACTTGCTACAACGATGGTTACCGTTTACCGCTTTATTCTCTATTCAAATGAAAAAAAATAGTGTGATGCACTGTGCATCACACCCAATTCATCAAGTCAGTAAATACATACCGTCTGACACACGATTTTCGTAGCTTTCGGGGTGTTTCCCTTAATTACATTTACTGCAAAAGAAAAGAGAACTACCTTCACCTTTAACGTTTCAAGGAGAAACAAAACGTAAAAATACATTTGGATGACTTACTAAACTGGTCCCAAATACTTTCTTCAGGTTCAGAAACTGGAATAAAAGTTTTTTTAAAGTATGGGTTAGTATGGTAAATTAGAAGAACTTCCACTTCATACGAAACGCGTGCAAAAATGGAGACAATCAGTTACAGGCCCCTTAACTGGGAGTGAATCAAAAGTAACCATATATGGCTACGATCGCTATTCGGCAAAAAAAAAACCTAGAAGCAAATAAACACAATAGGACAAAACTGAAAGTATGCACTAGAAGGCTTGTAATGAACTGACGTCAAATATCACATAACGGCATTACTTAATTTTTCTTACACACCATTTTCACCTATATCCACATCGCTTCCGTGTTTTCTAATAAAAGATAAGATGGAATAAAACAAAAAAAAAAATGCAGTTCAGCAATATAGACAAAAAAAGAAGACAATGTGTTAATGCTACTGTTGATGTTTCTGTGGGATGCGTGGAAGGTTAGCGCCGCGAAGTATTAAGCTGAAGTATTGGTTTGCAATGAATAACTCGTTAAAAAACGAAATTATTATGGTGATGAAGAAGGGGATCAGTGATGTGGTGGCGAGGGTAATGGTAACAAAAATGGCGACAATAACAGTGATGTTGGTTATAGTGCATAAAAATGATATTGGTAACTAGGAGCATGCTTGTGGTTGTCATGTAGGAAGTGCTTGTGGTTCTTCCGACAATCAGTAACAGTGATAGAGATGATATTACATTACCTACCTCGCGCTGCTAGTTAGTAATTTATCGTCATCACTTGTTAGCTGAAATAAAGTTTCGAATGAGCATCATTTTCAAGCACTCAATTATTTGTCTAAATGCGTTTTTCCAATTATGTGTGAGTATTGCTAAGATTTCAACAAAAAAAAAATACGGGGATTTCAGTTTGATGGAAAGAGTCTGGAGTTGTCCACAATCCTGCTCCCTGCAACATCGAACCCGAAGTAAAACCGGGGCCACCCGAAATCGAGCACCGGTTGATCTGGCGATGCCCTAACTAAGGCAACTTTTAAATAAAGCACCATGGCATCATATCTCATGACCAAGCATTTGTTATTGAAATAGGTGTCTTTCAGATCGGATTCGATGAAAAACTAAAGTCACGCGATTGCGTCTCCTAAATGAGATTTCGATTGAAATTTGGTGTTAATAAGCACAAGTAAATTTTTCAATGACAAAATACTTGTGCGAGCTCGTCGGCGAGTGCAATTTGTAGTTTTTGACAAATTTATGAGTGCTTACTCAAACCAAAATGTACGAATATCATGTTGTTACTTGTAAGTTATTAATTTACATGAAAAACGCATCACAGAAAAGTCAAGATGGACGAAATTTTGGCAGCGCGCGCACTCTTTGCAATTTGCGCTCGCGTCATAACTTTGCACCGTTTCGTGTTATATGAAAAAAATGCACTCGTTTTCAGCCAATCAGACGCGCGTAATTTTTTCATGCATATCATTACAATGGAAATTGTCCTCGTTTTACTCATAAATACCTGTTTTCTTTCCTTTTCCCCACCGACTCCCCTACCATTTCCTTTGGATTGTCCATTAATTATTAGGATTTTATTGACAAGATCCTCAAGCTTTTTGAACGCCAAACTGTCTATAAAAAGATAAATATACTGTCCATCTAGCTCGCCGTAAAGAACTCTTAAAACGCTCGAAAGAACAACGTAAAAGACAATACATAGAGCTTAGGAAAGTAAAATGTTTCAGGTAAATGAGAGGTCCACAGTAAAAAAAATGTGCATGACATGTGCACTCAGGAAGGATATTGCTGAGAATCGTATAATTGAATAAAATCTCGCATTCTATTCACAACACCACAACTGCAAAAAAGATATTCAATTATGCGATTTAAGGAAAATCCATTACTTGACTTATGAATTCCAAGTTAAATTGCGTTCTAAAACCGATATCGCGCGAATCGCAAAGCGATGAGTGCGATATCGGTTTTCAAGTGCAATTTAACGCGGAGTCCACGAGTTAGGTAATGAAATTTCCTATAGAATGGGCAAAGGCTAAAGCGGAAAGAATATTCCACCACCGTTTGGCAAGGACTGTACTTTTCCTTTGTTTTGGCATTGAGCAGAACAAAGAGTGGAACTGCTGTCTTCTTGGTTCAAATTGTTTGTTTGTTTGTTTTTTTTTGGTAAAAAAAATTGTGTTACTTTTTCTCTAATTTTTATTTAGTACAGTTAAATGAGTAACAAAGACTCTTCAGTATGTATTAATCCCCTCAAAGATAAATTTATTTAATGATTCGAGAGTGGCGTAGCTAGAGAGGTAGATAAGGGAAAGTTGTTTTGTCTTTCAGCCCTTCGAATGTATTAGTAAAATACAAAGTTTTAAATTTTTGTTAATTGGAAGCAAATACGTCAATACTTATGTGGCTCCAAGTCACTTAAAAGTAAGTGTCGAATTGTAAAGGCTTCTATTCATTTAATGTTCAGTATTGCAGCCGATGAGGGACGCCACTAAAAACTTTAAAACCTTCTATATTTACGGTTTGAACTAAACTGCAGAGTATCAAATACTTTCATCCCTTACCAGGTCGATTGGTAGTCTACTTTGTCTCAAAGCAGATAACACGTTTAAAATTTATACCCTATTCTTCACAAGGAAGGAAAGCATTAAATCACACTGCACGATTTGGCTCATCAGATACGATTTTTTTAAAATGAGCCTAGTGCTAAGAATAATTTCATGACTTTCAACTGCCCTAGTACCTGCGTAATGCATTCCTCCTCTATGGGATATAAAATGGTGCTTGATGATTGAATCTTTGCATCTATTAGAAAGTAACAGATCAAACTAAAATCTGAGAAATTCCAATTATCAGCAGAATTGATGCATGGCTTAATTATCTTCCTGACGTAAACAGATCAACATAGCAACAGGACTTGTCGAAGATGTACTTTTAAAATTTCTCCAAGAATTTGTTGATTCCCAAAGAAGCAAAGCAATGCCACTGACTGTTTTTTCTTTCGTTTTATTGCACCATTAGCCTATGTGTAGCCTCAACAGAACATGGTGTGAGGTTTTAATAGTGAGCTGCAAATTTGGGAAAGTGATTCAAAAGCATTTCGATGTTCTTCAAACGTCCCCAGTATACATAAGTAATGGTAAAAGGACTGAGTGGAATTCAATTCGGTCTGTTATAGGAGCAATAGTCTCGCGCAGTGGGAGTCCGATTTGTTCACCATAAGTATGATTACAGACCAAATTGGACGACATGAAGTTTGTATTACCAATTAATCATAAAATTACAATTTCCGTGTGAAGGAGAATAGCTAAGTTATAAAAGAAAGCGAAAAATTTGAATAAAAAGACTGATTGGTTGATTTAAACTACAATTTTGAAAGTGAATGGTTGATTCAAACTACGACTTTGAACGTGATTGACTTACTAAACGTTTCGATAACAAACTGTCTAATAACAACTTGGCAAGTGAATTAGGGGAGATATAGAAATTTTTTATACCAATCACAATCAAGGAAATTGTAATTTTTATGATTAAGGTTTTTTCGCAGAATCTCAATAACATTCATAACTAACCGCATATTTTATGATTAACAATCCATCATCGTGAGAACATTTGATAAGTTGAATTTATCACCAGGCGTTAAGGCCACGGAAGCAACACAAAGAAAAGATGCCTTAGTGAGAGAACAAGTCTTCCGGGTGAAGTTTTGGTTTTCCAAACAAGATAACCGCCATCATTAGCTTTAGACAGAAGACCTTCAGCTTCATCTTGTGTTAAACTACCATGAAACCTGAAAAAAAGATATTTAGCTAGATATATCCCACAGGATACATATATATAAAACTAGGAGTAATCATTGATTATGAAGTGCGTTCGTGGGGACGAAATTTGGGTTCTGGAATGCTTAGACTAGTGACCGTGTCAGGAAGATGATGAATATATGAGAGCAGGGTGCTCTGAAATGAGCCATCATGGTCGTCTGGGGAGAAAGGGAAAATAATGCGAACAACAAATGTTCAAAGAATTGAAAGAAAAAGTCAGATTCACAGACTACGATCTTCAGACTACTATACCAAAAAGGAGACAGTCTTCAGATATCCGCTCTCTAGACTACGATCCTCAGACTACTATGACAAAGTCTCTTTAACAGGAAAATGTTTTTAATAACGATAACACTTTGAGAACTTAGCGAAAAAGCGTATTGTTTAAGTTTCTCTTTCAATTGCAAACTGGTATGCCAAAGAAAATGATCACGATTTCAAAAAAAATTCTCGGTAATTGTAGTTGAAAAAGAGCACAGTAAGTATGATCCGGGAATTTGAACTTTTAGTGATGTCTCCTTAAACTAAAGCCGAGAGATAGTTAACTTTGAAAATAAACTCACTCTTTTTCTGCGTATTGAGAAGGCCTATCTGGAATCTGTGGAGTGAAAGTATGATTTTAGCTCCTTTAGAAGGTCAGCAAAGAAGTAAAGTGGCCAACACCACTTAAACAAGTTGCCATAAAGCGGCTTAGGGTATTTCGCTACCCCCTTGATATTCCAGCTCAATAGAAAGGTGTATTTAGTATTTCAGCCAGTTCTTTTGTCCATGAACGCATCACCAATGATAGCACCGCGAGACCTTTTCATAAAGAGTACAGAGAAAAACTGACCATTAGACTAGCCCAACTTCAACTGTAAAAATGACCAACTTATGTCAACAGTTAAAAAAGCAGACTTTCTGAATATTTCGAGTTCTTCATTCATTTAGATGTCATTTTTCGGCACTTGAAATTGTGTTGAGGGGTTTTTTACCACTCGCTTGGCGAATTAACAAGAGGCACCAAAGACTATACTTTTCTTTTTTATTCTCTTCTCTTCTATTGTTGCTACTACCTTCTACTACCACAGCTATTTCTCTTCTAACTTCAGCAAGGAGTGCCCTGGCATTTATTGTAAAAATCACAGACATATTTGGGTTAGCTGACCGTGGGAATTTCCAAAACAGGATTTTCAGTGTGGGTAAAACTCAAGGTCAGTTCTACCAACCCAAACATGACCACCTATGAAACCAATTATCCTCAACCATAACAAGCGATCAAAATGTCTAGCACGGTAAAAAGGAAATCCGCGAACTGAGGCAAGTTCAAGCACACACTAAAAATAAATCATCAAAACTATACATCTACCGAAATAATAACGTAGACGCAAAAAGGCGGGACTCATCAAAACAAAAGGTAAACCTAAAAGTAATCAAAATAGCAATTCTTTAAAATACTCTACAACAATTGCGAGCGAGACGTGGAAAGATTTAACAAATCCGATAGCAGGTCCAAAATGGAAATTAATAATGACTCCATAAGTGCGCCATCTTTTTAAGTCTCTAAGAAGAGCATAGAAGAAACGTCGTTTCTCAAAAAGGGGATCTGCTAATTTTGTGTTAAGGGTAGTCATGAATACAAAAAGAGAAACTCAAAAGTAAATAATCTCATCCCGCCTAAGTGTGAGAAAAATTTAAACTTCAAAGCATTCCATTCCAGTGCCACTCGTTATGGAACGGAACAGAACCATATCTTAGAGACACTTTTTAAGACACCTTCATGGTAAACTGACTTTGAAAAACTCTGTCACTAAGCATGAACATTTCAATATTGACCATACATGTTAATTCAAATCTATCAAATATCTTTATCTTTTTCTTTCAACTTGGTTTGATCTAGTTTTAGATTAGCTCATGGAGGGCCATTATCATTAACTACTGAGTTAAGAGTAGTTAACAACTATTCACCGAGGTGGAGGTGGTTAGTGGTGGATATTTACCTCGCCGCTTCGCGGCTCGGTA